TTTATGTTTTAAATATACATATCATGAAATGCTTTATAAAACCTTCCATTGCAATTTTTAAGCCTCGGACTAGCTTTCAGCAGGTTCAAGGAAGACTCTAAGGGAGGTGTTTACACTAGCAGTTAGTTTTGGATAAGGCCTTAGCTATAAAATATGAGGTCATATCCTTAAATCAAAAAAATAATAATCTATGCCCTACATTTGTAAATTTGGAAAAGTTTTTGTCACCATATGCCTAATGTGCCTAACTCTTTTTCTTTTTGGTTTAAAATGTACCTTAACTTATTCCTCAGCTCGAAAGTTACAACCATCAGAAGCCTCACTCAAGTTACTTTAAAAATGCATGAAAAGAATACCTTATGGTATATACCATCTCGACAAAGCTTATACTTCTCTAGGCAAGTACACCAATCCCCATGTCCTGGTTCACACCACCACTCATCTGAAACCTGGAAGGACAAGTTGATAGAAGCCAGACAAGTATAAAGTTTTAACATTTAACAGATATAATTATCCCAACCACAGCAAGAGAAGATGCAACTCATGTAAACTTTTATCAACATTAAAGAACTGTTAAGTTTCAGGTCCGATGCTCTGATGTATGAAAGATTAAGACTGTAGCCTTATCATTCAATTTTGTAAAACTTTATTTGCAAGCATCAAACAGCATTTAGGATCCAGGAAGAATGAAATCAATAAAACAAAACTTGTAAGATTCCCATCTAAAGTCTTTTCAATTTCTTATTCTAACAGCCATGTTTTTTCCTTCTTTCAAAACAAGTGCCGCAAATTGAATATTGGACCATATTGTATTAACTCAGATTTTATGAATTATTAAGTAACCTCTTCTAAAAAGATGTTTATGCTTACTAGAGTGAAGAATCAAGACACGGAGGTGCACCTTTTTGTATAGTTTTGCATAAGCTTCCCATCTCTTAATTTTGAAAGTAGATCTTCTGTCAGCTACTGCTTCAGAAGCCTCCAGTGCAAAACTCACAGCAACAAGCAACTCACTCCCACCTTTATCTACTCTGCAAATGCAACATTTTTGCAGATTCAAAGTGTGTGGTCTATTGTAAACACAAAACTTAGTTATAGAGTTATAACATACCTGATAATAACTGCTGCAAGTAAGTGACTTTCCTCCACTCTAAGGACTGGATGACCAAATTTTAGGGAACTATACTTATGAAATGAACCATAGTCAGATGAATTTTGATAGTCATTATCTTTGGAGAGATAGGATGATGCCTCTAATTCAGAGTCATCCAAGAGGCTAACTGAAGGCAATTCATTTCCAGCTTCTTTATAAAGCCAATGAGCAGCAAGCCCATGTTCAGCATAATCATGCATTCTCTGCAAATGAATTATACTTCTATCAGCTGAATTAATGTCACTGTTACTTTAGCATAACAAAATATTAGAATAGATTTCACACCTGTGTTCTAATTTGAACTTCCAAAGGTGAGGCATCAGGACCTCGCACAGCAGTGTGCAGAGACTGCAATTGGTAGAAGGACAATGAATCAGTAACATATCTATGGGTCTTTCTAACTTATGCCTAATTACACTTTTTTTTCAATAATTGTTATTGAAAAATAAAAGTTAACTTCATTTTTATGAACCACCCAATCAAAATCGTGGACATTTCATTAGTGTTGAAAATGAAGTTAGCTTTTGTGTTTTTCTATCTAAATTAATGAAGATAAGATGCAATTAATTCACCCCACACAGGTTACACAAACAATATATCTATAAAACTAGGAAATTTATATTTATCCATGCCTTGTGCTAGCAGAAGTTGCATTTAGTGGGAGTAATTCTTGTCTGGGTATTTGGTAATGCTTTAATTCTTGTAGCTTGGCCTAGCTGTCAATAATTATTGCTTACAATCAATAGAAAAAAATAATTATTACAAATCAGTCTATAATTTTTCTCTTTCCTTATTATTGCTTATTTGTTGCTTGAGGAAGAACTGTTGCGGGTGAGCAGCCCTATTGGTGGCTTGCCTCAAGATTCATCAGTGCTGGATCCTCCAATTGAAAATGGAACCACTATGGTTCATGGCGCCTGCAGTTTATCCTTTTCTTCTTCATTCAACACACACTTTCTTTACTTGATAGATATAATGTAAACTCTTGAAGACAGTTTCTTTGCTAGTATGACAAAGTAATTACTTGTGTTTGTGATAGAACTTATGCTGCATAATTCTAGAATGTTCTCTACCTCATATATAGTGGTTTAAAGGTTCCAAATAAATCTCTGCTTGAGTTTTAACAACTGTATTTTTAGATGAATTGATATATTTTATTAAAACTGCCATGCAAGGGACTAGTTGACAAAAAGGTCACTATTGGTTGAATGGAATTTCTAGACTACGATTATTACATGTAAATGAAACTAAAGTAAATTCATGGGTAAGCCGAAGTAGGAATGGTTATTACCTAGTGTCAATTCCCCAATAATTATTAATACCTGTTCCTTCGGTTTCAGTTATTACATCTTGACATGAGGAAAAAGTCACATGGATCTTGTACTAACCATCAACTTTTCTTACTTATACTTTAGTCCTTAAAGAACGTATATGTGAAAAAAAGGAAAAGAAATTTAAGAACTTCTGTGTAGGACTACTGTTAACGAGTCAAGTACCTAGGTACTCATGCTCAAGCTCACCTTAAAAATTCAAGCACTAGCCAAGCTTCGGTATTTATCAAGCTCAAAATAGTTGAGCTCATGCTCAAGCTCGTGAGTATTATACCGAGTTCAAGCTTGCAAGCATGGAAAGGGCTCAGCCTATGTTATTTTATGGTTTTGAGCATTATATATATATATATATAT